CCTGGAACAGGTACGGAGAGGCTTTTGCATCCTGGAACAGGTACGGAGAGGCTTTTGCATCCTTGAACAGGTACGGAGAGGCTTTTGCATCCTCGAACAGGTACGGAGAGGCTTTTGCATCCTGGAACAGGTACGAAGAGGCTTTTGCATCCTGGGACAGGTACGGAGAGCAACATTCAGGAGTTTGCCCTGGCGACTGCTGGGCTTATCACGACCATCAGCAGTGTATACCAGTGAGAGAAAGAGAAAATGTTTGGGACGTTCGGTATTATAAGGTTGTTGGGGATGTGGATAGCAACTTGAAATCACATCAGCATGTTCAGGATGGGATCAATATCGTTCGTTACGGTTAATTTAGCACGTCGAGATATAGAAAGAATAACAACAGCAAGTGAAGAGCATCCAGGGCTCATCATGGAAAGCTTACTGGCTCTCTGTAATCATGTCTTCCCCACACTCTTCCTACACCCCTTATCCTGTCTCTGTTGCCCCACTCACTTGTTGCCAACAAGTGGGGCAGATGAGAGGAGAAGGGTTCACGAGATATGGCTCACTGAACATGCTCTTTCCTTTGCCTACTCCCTTTCAATCCAGCTGCTCGTTCCCTACCTGCGCCCCCCTGCACCTTGCTGCCCCCATCGCTGCAGGTGGAGCAGATGCGAGCAGCAGGCTCATCAAGGGCGGCTCACTCCACAATGCCCTCATGTGCAGGTCAGCCTGGGGGCGGTCAGCCTGGGGGAGGTCAGCCTGGGGGAGGTTCCATGCACGTGAGCCTTGTTGGGCCTGGTTTCATTGTTAGATGTTTGAAGCGGCTTGAGCTGGGTGAGTGCATGTCAGGTTGTGCCTTGCAGAAAAGTGCATCGAGCAATGCTATGTGCCATGCAGGTAGGTGACAGACACGGCCATGACAGTGCCACGGCGCACCCAGGACGACTCACACTGCTGGGCGCATCTCTCCCCTCTCCACATACCCCACATGCCCTTGTCTTCCTTCTCAACTCTTCTCAAGCCCACCTCGTGGTTGATGGGGCGAGCTGAACGTTCAATTCACTCAACCCCCTCGTGTGAGCACCTAATCGACAAGGCTGTATGTTATTTCTGCCCCCACATGCCCTACTCCTGACCCCACATGCCCTACCCCTGCCCCCACATGCCCTACTCCTGCTCTCTCCCTCCCTGCACCCAAACGCGAGGCTGGGTAAACCCGCCACTGCGACTCCCTCTGGAGCCGTGCCGCCACAAGCTGCTAGATCTTATCGGCGACTTGGCGCCCTGTGCTCGAGGAGGGAACGTCGGCATTCCCAATGCGCACATAGTGGCCTATAAAGTGATTGCGGGCCCTGCTCCTAAGCTGTTTAAAGAGATTTCAATGGGCAGCCCCAGTGTGCACGTAGTGGCATAGAGTGAGCACTCGGCTTTCTCTTCAACTGCCTCGTGTGGTCGCAAGGACATGTCTGCTGAGGTCTTTCGCTGTGAAGTGGGGATTGTTGGATCGTTGGACTGTTGGATCGTTGGATCGTTGGATCGTTGGACTGTTGGATCGTTGGATCGTTGGATCGTTGGATCGTTGGACTGTTGGATCGTTGGATCGTTGGATCGTTGGACTGTTGGATCGTTGGACTGTTGGATTGTTGGATCGTTGGATCGTTGGATCGTTGGATCGTTGGATCATTGGACTGTTGGATCGTTGGATTGTTGGATCGTTGGACTGTTGGATCGTTGTATCGTTGGTCTGTTGGATCGTTGGATCATTGGACTGTTGGATCGTTGGATCGTTGGACTGTTGGATCGTTGGATCGTTGGATTGCTCCGCACTGAAATTGGCAACTTATTTCTTCTCGGCGTACCTTGGGTGACTTTTGATTCGACTCAAAAGTTTCCTTGGCATTCAAACTAATCTTGCCTTCATGTCACCTCCAACCCCACAATTCGCCCTTCCGCCTTCTCCCCCCAGGCGAGCCATGCGCTTCACGTGGCCTTCGGTAAAGCGCTTATGGGTGGGCTCGAGGCCGAGGCAAAGGGGCATGGAGGGGCTGGGTTGGGAGTGGTGCAGGTAGGTGCTGCGGTGCTGTGACGGTTGCCATGCCGCCGTGGCCAAGGAATCAACATGGGAGAAGTTTTTAGGGAGCAACTTTAGATAGGTTACTATGATAATACGGCAAGCCAAGCTTGTGAAGCAGATGAAGTGTCGATGGTGGCACAAATAAAGACTGGTCCAGTGTACCCATCTGGCAATGAGCCCTGGTGCCTGAATCCTCTCAATCTGTGACACCCCCAAATTGAACACACTACTGCATGTGAATCAAAACCTGAGGAGTTGCAATGCTTGCCCTCTTGTTGTAGCCTCTATTTGTACTGAAAAATGCAGCCTCCATTATGGACTGATATTGCAAGGCTGCAATATGGTAGATATATAAAATTTCTCTGATTTCTGTACACAGTGTTACACATGCCAAGGTCATAGTAGGATTGCCAATCTAAACAATGCATTGCCACGCTAAGCAATGATCCCTATAAAGCAGATGCAAATTAGATGCAATGAACCTCTTCAAGCAACCGAGTCTTGAACTCACATCCACTCGTCGCCAGCATGCGGCAGCCAGCCTCCAGTTCACGAGGTGGATGCTGTTACGCCTCATACTCCACCCACGCCGCGCTGGGTGGATGCTGTTACGCCTCATACTCCACCCACGCCGCGCTGGGTGGATGCTGTTACGCCTCATACTCCACCCACGCCGCGCAGGGTGGATGCTGTTACGCCTCATACTCCACCCACGCCGCGCTGGGTGGATGCTGTTACGCCTCATACTCCACCCACGCCGCGCTGGGTGGATGCTGTTACGCCTCATACTCCACCCACGCCGCGCTGGGTGGATGCTGTTACGCCTCATACTCCACCCACGCCGCGCTGGGTGGATGCTGTTACGCCTCATACTCCACCCACGCCGCGCTGGGTGGATGCTGTTACGCCTCATACTCCACCCACGCCGCGCTGGGTGGATGCTGTTACGCCCCATACTCCACCCACGCCGCGCTGGGTGGATGCTGTTACGCCTCATACTCCACCCACGCCGCGCTGGGTGGATGCTGTTACGCCTCATACTCCACCCACGCCTCCTCTGCACCACCCCTCTCACCCACCGCATCACCACGTACCATCTCCAGACGCATGCTCCACTTGGCATGCACCTGCAGGTGCTGAAGGCGCAAGGAGTGCCAGCACCATCCAGCACCATCCAGAACCATCCAGCACCATCCAGCACCATCCAGCACCATCCAGCAGCTACGCCTGTGACTCTCCTGTGAAGGCACTATCGAAATACTATGCACAATCGAGAAACAGGCAAAGAAGGGTTTTCACTAACAAGCATAGGGATACATATAGCAAACCCTAGAAGGGCTGTACTCGCTATAGAGTACCCCACTGCAGGCTAGACAACCATTACATTCTGACACACCCCCATAGTCAAAGTGGGGTACAATCAACACAACAAGCAGGCAGAGCAGTAGGTTCACAAATACAAGCAAAGCTAGAGGCTATCACAGAGGGCAAGTGAGGAGGAGGAGAAACTGCGGGGGCGAGAAGATGGGAGGCGACGGCTGAAGCTGCAGACACACGGGCAACAGGAGTGCGCAGCACTGTCGCTACCAGGCTAAACCCGGACTACATGGCGATAGGCGCAGCTGGCTCGCTATGCTCCCAAGAGTGCTCACACTGTGGCTACCGGGCGCAGAGCCCCGGACTACACGGCCACAGGGGGTCGTGGCTCTCTGGACTACCAGGAGTGCTCACACTGTGGCTACCGGGCGCAGAGCCCCGGACTACACGGCCACAGGGGGTCGTGGCTCTCTGGACTTCAGGCGCTGCGGACGACAAGTCGACGGCCTCCTCTCAACTTCCCCCAGCTGTCCCACCCCCTTTTCACACACCCCCTGTTGAACCACTAGCAACGCTCACACGCCACCCCCCTCCTGACGGCTCCAACACATCCACCCCCCTGAGCGGCAGCTGCAGCAGTGGGAGACGGAGGAGGAGGAGGAGCAAGGGATGGCGCACTAACCCGTCACCCCATACCCGCCACCCCCACATCCGCCACCCCCAAACCCTAACACAGGCAGCAGCGGGGGGGGGGGGGGCGGTGCGCGGGCAGCAGCCAGGGGGAGGGCGCGGGCGCCTCGGCGGGGCAGCGGGGCAGCCGCGCGCGGCTCCCCAGGGCGCCGCGACGAAGCAGCGGGGTCGCGCGCGGCTCCCCAGGGCGTCGCGACGGGGTAGAAGGGTCGCGCGCGGCTCCCCAGGCTGTCGCGACGGGGTAGCGGGGGCCGCGCGCGGCTCCCCAGAGCGTCACGACAAGACAGCTGGGGGCAGCGCGCGGCTCCGCGAGGCAACGTGACGGGGGGGGGGGGCTCCGACGGGGGAAAACCGCCGCGCGCCTCGGGGCGCACGGTGGGAAGAAAAATCCGTCGCGCACCATGGGGCGCGCGACACGCAGAGTAGCAGCGGAAGCTAACGGGTGGGACCACCCACAGGATCGACCCAGGAGGGTCGACCTGCTCTGATAGCATGTCAAAATACTAGGCACAATCGAGAAACAGGCAAAGAAGGGTTTTCACTAACAAGCATAGGGATACATATAGCAAACCCTAGAAGGGCTGTACTCGCTATAGAGTACCCCACTGCAGGCTAGACAACCATCACATTCTGACAGACACACCCACCAAGAGAGTCAGATTTCTTGAGCCAAAGCAGCATCTCTCAGCCACCCCTCCTCGCCTCCCACCCCTCCTCGCCTGCCACCCCTCCTCGCCTACCACCCTGCTTCTCATCCTCCCTCACTATGGCCTTCCTCTGCTCCCTACATGCCTTCCTCTGCTCCCTACATGCCTTCCTCTGCTCCCTACATGCCTTCCTCTGCTCCCTACATGCCTTCCTCTGCTCCCTACATGCCTTCCTCTGCTCCCTACATGCCTTCCTCCGCTCACTACATGCCTTCCTCTGCTCCCTACATGCCTTCCATGGCTTCCTTTTTTACCTTGTCGTTAACAAAAACTCTCAATTCCTCTTCCACCACCACTCCCCCTTGCTCCTCTTCCCTCTTCACGTGCCCAGCCCCGCCCTTACCTTCACGCTCTTGACTCCCCTGCTCATCTGCGCCACGCCCACCAACCACCCCCTCCACAAGTGCGCGCACCCGCCCCCCCATATGCTGCACCTTCTCCTTCATGGCGTCCGCATGCGCTGTGATCGACCCCAGCATCTGCACCCACCAGCACGCGCACATGGGGGTCAGGGGAACCAAATTCTTAAGTTAAAAAGGGGTAAAGGGAAAGGGGAGAGACGAGCGAGCGAGGCATGGAGCGACGCAAGATGCAGGGAAGGGTGGAAGGGATGGAAAGAAGGAGGAAACTGAAGGGTGGAAGGAAGGAAGTAAGGAATAGATGGAAGGAGCGAGGTAAGAAATGACAACATATGCTCAATATGACCACTTGAGGGTGATACGGTCACCATGGCATGTGCCCACCTGCCTTGCATCGCAGCACCACCACACCTGCCTTGCATCGCAGCACCACCGCACCTGCCTTGCATCGCAGCACCACCGCACCTGCCTTGCATTGCAGCACCACCACACCTGCCTTGCATCGCAGCACCGCCGCACCTGCCTTGCATCGCAGCACCACCGCACCTGCCTTGCATCGCAGCACCACCACACCTGCCTTGCATCGCAGCACCACCGCACCTGCCTTGCATCACAGCACCACCACACCTGCCTTGCATCACAGCACCACCACACCTGCCTTGCATCGCAGCACCACCACACCTGCCTTGCATCTCAGCACCACCGCACCTCCCTCATACCTGGTTGCAATGCACTAGAGCATACAGCACCTCTGCCATGCCTGGTTAAGACACCGCATATAGCACGGCCTCCCTCCACGTCCACCCCGGCTCGTCATGCACCCTTCCCTCCAGCCGGTCCCTAACCCGCGGCACCACACCTGCGCCTCCACACACTCCTGCACCTCCTCCACCGCCCTAACCACTTCGCCCATCGCCCCCCTCACCTCCTCCTCTTGCACTTTCGACCTCGCTATTGCCTCACTTCCTTTCCCCTCCCCTTCTCTCTGCTTCTTCCCGTCCCCCCTCACCCTCTCCTCTGCCTTCCAAGGCCTCTTATTCGACGGAGTCCTCCCCCCAGCCTCCAGGCCTTGCGCCGCACGCCATCCACTGCATCCAACCGCTTCCTCACATGGCATCTCCTCCGCCTTCACCGCCTCCCCCACTGCCGTCCTTTGCACGTCCTCTCCAACCCCTGGCGCATCCTCCCCCGCCCGCTGCGCGCATCTTTCCCCCTGTGCGCAGATCCGCCCCACTGCCGCCCGCGTGCTCCACCCCATGTCCACTGCAGCCGCTCCAAGGGCGCGCAAGAACTATTCCATGGGGAGAAGGAAGGGGAAAGGGAGGAACGGAGGGGAGATGGGAGGTCCTTAGGTTGGCGGGTGTGGCGAACCATGAGGGGAGAGACAAGCGGAGAGAGGCAAGATGGGTGGGAATGATGGGTTAGGGGATGGCAGAGGCATGAATCGGAGGGAGGCAGGCAGGAGCAGGGTAGAGGAGGATGAGAGAGAGAGGGAGGCAGGGAAGGGGGATTATAAAGCAGAATTACCTGCTGATGTGGCACAATGGGAAGAGCGCCTTGAGCACACCTGCATATGTTTCGGCAAATGCGCTTCCACTCTCTCGCGATTCCGCTTCGCTGCCCCGCTTAACCGAGGCTCGTAGTACCTGTTCTCAATCCACACAGCGGCTCGCCCCATCCTCGCGGCTTCCCCCTCGATCTTCTCTACTAGCTGCGCCACCACTCTCCCTGCCTCCCTCACCGCTCCAACCTCCTCCACTTCCCTCCTTGTTCTCGCCGCGGCTGTGGAGATAACTACTACAACGGGAGCTGGACTACGGGCTAGGCACGGGTGCTCGTGTGATCTCTGCGTTCACTTGTTCCTTAGTCGTTTCCAAGTGCTCACACTACTTGCTAGTTCACAGGGAGAATTGGCAAGAGTTTCACTAGGAAAGGTTGACAACAGAAAATGGTGCAATGAAGTTGGCAAGACTAGACTACATCAGAGCTAGCATGCAAGCAAGTCTACTGCCAGCGCAGCACGGTCGACTGCGTGCCAGCACGACTTGGTCGACCGCGCTCCAGCAGTGCAGAGGCGCGGCTTGCCAGTGCTGCAAGTCGACGGCGTGCCAACATCGCAGGTTGACGGCGTGCCAACGCTGCTCCCGCAGGACAGCAGCGCACCCGCTTCGCAGGTGCTCGCAGATGATTGGCGTGTAGTGCCTCGTCACCTGCACAGCGCATACACCAAGTCAACTTTGTGCTGACGACTGATTCTGATCAGCCACGTTGACCTCGGGATACCACCACCGAGATCGTCCTCGCCAACATCGCCTGAGCGACCGTCTCATGCCTTCGCAGAGCCTCGTCACCCAGATAACCTGGTCGACCGGGCAACCACGTCGACCAGCTGCTCCTGTATGTGCCGGTCGACCTCCCAAGTCGACGGCCACCTCCAGTCGACCTCCCCAGGTCGACCACTATGTTCGGTCGACCACCAGGTCGACTTCACGCCTGGTCGACCAGCCACCAAGTCGACCAGAAGGCCTGGTCGACTTACCAGGTCGACCAGAAGGCTTGGTCGACCAACCAGGTCGACCAGAAGGCCTGGTCGACCAGCGAGGTTGACCAGAAGTTTTGTCAGCCGACCACCCAAGTCGGCTACCCCAAGTTGGCGTCACCAAGTCGACGCCCTCCGCAGGTCGACTTCCCAGGTCGACCTTCCTGACGTTGGCGCCATCCTGAAGTCGGCGCCCATGCAGTGGCACCCGTGCAGGTCGACTTCCTCGTTGACCAGCTCGCCCACTACTGCAGGTCGGCTGCACCCCTACACCCGACCACGAAGTCGGCTCCGCCCAAGCGAGGACGGGGCCAACACACAACTCCCGTTGACACTCCCCTGCCGCGTTCACGCTTGGGGCCCCATCCCACACGGCAGTACTTCTTCGGAGAAAAGCTCGTCGACGTGCACCCAACACACAGCACGTCGTCCACCGCACCAGCCATGCAAGAGGGCATGGCACCTACTGCTGCACGTCGTCGTCGCCCACGTCGGCCAGACGCACTTGGCCGATTGCAACGGAGCACCGGTTGAAGGCCGGATAGTGCAGCGCCTTCGTCAAGAAGTCGGCCGGCTGCTCAGCGGTCGGGATGTACTGCAGCAAAAACTTCCCCCGCTTCACCATGTGTTGCAGCCAGGCCTGTCGCCGCTCCATGTGCTTGAGGTTGCCCGTCAACCCCATGCCTTCGGCGACTGTGATGGCCTACCTATTGTCCACCCGGAGAATAGTCGGCTTCCCGGCATCCAGCTGCCGGAACTCTGCCAGGAGGAAGCGAAGTCGGCGTCCCTCCTTGCCGGCTTCGACGGCCGCCACGTACTCCGACTCGGTCAACGACAGCGTCGCGCACTTGATGCGCTGGCTCGACCAGGAGACCGCGGCCCCTCCGTAGACGAACACGTAGCCGCCCGTGCTCGTCCGGCTCTGCTTGTCGCCGGCATCGTCGGCGTCCACGTAGCCGACCAGCTTCAGCGACTCAGGTCCACCGCCGAACTCCAGGGCGGTGTTACGCGTGTTGGCGAGGTAGGCAAGGCAGCGGTCGACCTCGCGCCAGTGCTGGTCACTCCTCACAGTGAGGTCGCTCCCCAGCTTGCTGCAAGCGAAGGCGATGTCTGGCCTCGTCGTCGTCGCCGCGAACTGCAGCGAGCCGACCTTCTGAGCCTCCTCGTCGTCAAAGGTGAGCTCGGCGTAGGCGTCGACCGAAACCGGCGTCTTCGGGGTGTGCCTGGTCTGCTCCTGATCGAGGAAGCGCCTACGCAGCTTGTCGGCATAGCCCTGCTGGTGCAGCCACAGCTTCCTCGCCGACCTGTCACGCACGATCTCCAGCCCGAGGTACTTCTGCACCGGCGAGATCTCGCGCAGCTCGAAGGCGGCCTCCAGCAGCTCCTTCAGCTCTTTCAGCATCGCGGGGCTGCTGCTGGCGGCGAGCAGGTCATCGACGTAGACCAGCACCCAGCAGGTCACCTTGTTGTTGCCGACCTTGAAGTAGAGGGCCTCGTCGACCTGACTCTTCTTCCAGCCAGCGCCGACCAGCACGTCGTTGAGATCTTTGTACCACAGCAGCGGCGACTGCTTCAGCCCGTAGAGGCTCTTCAGCAGTTTGCACACCCGGCCGGTCCCGTCATTGAAGTAGTCCGGCTGGTACATGTACAGCACGCGGTCGAGCTTGCTCTGCAGAAAGGCGTTCTTCATGTCGAGCTGCATCAGGTTGAGGTCGAGGACGGCGACGATGCTGAGGAAAATCCGCAGCGTGACGTAGCTGCTCACCGGCGCATACGTCTCGTCGTAGTCGGCGCCATACACCTGCGTGAAGCCCTTCACGACCAGCCTCGCCTTCTCGCGCTCGACGGTGTCGTCGATGTGGTACTTCGTCGTCAACACCCACCGGTTCTTCATGATGTTGACCCCGGGTGGGCGTTCGACCAGCTCCCACGTCCCCATGCCGATGAGGCTGCGGATCTCCTCCTCCATGGTGGCCTTCACCGCCGGACCCTTCCAGCTAGCCAGCGCCTCCTTCACCGTCATCGTGGAGATATCCCAACGGTGCTCGGGGTCGGCGTGCATGTCAGGGTCGAGCTCCGGCAGGTCTTCATCCTCATCGGCGTCGTCGTACAGCAGGTCGTCGTCCTCGTCGACCACGTCATACACCGTGGTGAAGGCAGCCGGGACGAAGAAGTTAGGAGGCCTCCGAAGGCTGCCACGCCGTGGTCCAGCCTGGGCCTCTCCCACGTCACTGTCGGTGGACTCCTCGTCGCCCAACTGCTCCCCTTCATCGTCCTCGTCGTCCTGCTGCACCTCGGTCGGCGTCCCGACCGATTCCTCCCCTGCGGTCAGCTCCCCTGCCGACTGCCAGGTCGCCGACTGCTCCTTGGTCGACCTTGTTGCTGCCTGCTCCCCTGTCGGCTTCACCCAAGTCGGCTGCACCTCCTCGTCTTGCTCCTCCCTAATCCACATCGACTTCACTCCCACGTCGACTTGCTGCTCGTCGACTTGCTGCTCGTCCCGTCGGCCACCGGCGATGCTCTTGGCCGCAGGCGACGTCCCACTACTCCCCTCATCGCCGGAGGCCAACACCAGAGTCAGTCCACGCAGGTCGGCCACGAGGGGAGAAACATGGGTCGTGGGAGGAGGGGAAGGAGGATGGTCGACCTCGATGTCCCCAGCAGCGAGCTCACCGACCGCCGCGAGCAGAGGCAGCGTCGCTTGCCAGGTGTCGGTTGGCGGGGTGGCCGGTGTCCGGCCTGACACCGGCCCGTGCTCCGACTTCCACACCTCCAGCGACATGTCCTCGTAGAACACCACGTCCGACGTGGTGACCACCCGGTTGTCAGCGATGTCGAGGAGCTCCCAGCCCTTGCTTGCCTCCGACACGCCAAGGTGAGGGCCCCACTTGGCCTTCGGCTTCAGCTTCCCACCACGCTGCTGCTCGGGGACAAGGAACTGCGCCATGCAGCCCCACACGCGTGCCAGCGACAAGTCGGGCTTCTTCCCGGTGAGCAACTGGTACGGTGTCGTCCCCGGCGTCGCCGACCTCTCCAGGCAGTTGCGGACCCAGACAGCCTGCCGCAAAGCGAGGTGCCACCAGTGGTGCTGGACGCCCATGTGCAGCAGCATCGTCTGCACCGACTCCACCACCGTCCTCATCTCCTGCTCCGCCATGCCATTCTGCTGCGGAGTGTACGGGCAGGTAAGGTCGTGGAGGATCCCCTTTCCGTCCACAAGGGCGGTGAAGTCCTTCCCGAGGAACTCCCCTCCCCGGTCAGAGCGCAGCATCAACACCGACTTCGTCGTCTGCCGCTCAACCGTCACCAGCCACTGCTCGAACTCTCGCAGCACGTCGGACTTCCGGGCGACCGGCCACACCCACACGTAGCGG